TTTTTTTTTTTTAAACTCTCTCTCTTTCCTCACCTGGTGCTGGCCTTTTCCCTATTAATAAACAGTTCAAGGCTGGCTGTGGCCATTTTAAGCTGTTTGTTTGTAGTGTAGTAGTTATGAATTGGGCCCCCAAGCCCAAGGCCGGCAGCTCAAACCCTAGAAAGACTAGGCTCCCTGCTCCTGCAAAGATTCACAGCCCCAGAGATCCTGCGCAGGGTCACTAGGAGCTGGAATTGACTCCCAGGCACTCCCAGTGGCTGCTTTTTTTGGAAGGAGATTGCCAGACTTTCTAATAGCAAACTTACAGTATATGTATATATATTTTTAGTTGAAATTCAAATTTCACTGTATGACCTAGTTTCTTAGTGCTTTTGTAACAGAAATTCATTTTCTCACAGTTCAAGGGACAAGAAGCCACAGTTCAAGGGACAAGAAGCCACAGTTCAAGGCACTGACTCTAGAAGCCTTTCCTCAGCGTCTGCAGCCCTGCTGTCCCTGACTCCTTGGCAATCTTCATGTGGAGTCTGTCTCTCCACCATTTGTACTTCTCTCTAGGTGCCTAAACTGCTTTTTTTATATCTCCATGTGAGATACGTTTAGGACACACTGCACTGATATAGCCTCATTAACATAACAAAAGCTAATCAGCATTCATTCATTCATCCCACAAACCTTTCCTGAGCTTTTACATTGAGCCCATCTTTCCAGGCACTGGGATCATCAGTGAACAGGGTGGAAATCTGTGCTTTTGTGGAGCTGAAATTCTGTTGGGGAGAAAAAGATAAACAAGAGAATCTAACAAAGTATGCCTGTGTTGAATTCTAAGGGGAACCAGGAAGGAAAATGCTAGCACAGTAGAGGAAAAACGAAGAGTTAGGATAGGTTTCATGATGTCTGCCTCAATCTTTAGCCGAGGTTGTCTGGGGGGCTGTTCCAGGTGAGGGCGCAGCACCTGCAAAGGTCCCCGGGTGGGGCTGTACCCAGGGTACTGAAGAACTATAAACAGGCCGCACCTGTCTTGGTCCCCGCTTGTCCCCATCGTCGCCCCGTGGCTGGCACCATTAGTTCTTGGAGGAGGTTTGGGTTGGGTGCTACCCAGGCCCGCGTCCTGATCTCCCGCCTCCACATGGACCTGGGACGCCAGTTCTCCGTGGATCGCCTGCCCACGGTCGTGGTGCTCAAACCCGGAGGTGATGTGCTCACACGAGACGCTGTGGACGAGATTCGCCGCCTGGGCCCCGCTTGCTTCACCAAATGGCAGGAGGCGGCGGAGTTGCTGGACCGCAGTTTCCTGCAACCCGAGGACCTGGACGACCCAACTCCACGCAGCCTCACCGACCCGCTTCGGCGCCACAAGTACCGCGTAGACGCGGAGCCTCAAAGCGGTCCTGGGGGCGGAGCCGGGGGAGAGGGCGGGGTCAGGGGCTGTTCTGAGACCCTTGGACTAGGGGTGGGCGGGGCTGGGGATTTTAAAAATATTCCCTATGAGGGCGGGTGAGAGGGGGGTGGCTTTTTCCAGTTGCGGGGTGGGGCGGGGTGAAGAATCGATGATGACACACCCCCCAGAAGGGCGGAGCCGAGGGGTGGATCCCAGTCTCCTAGAGTGAAAGGGCGGAACAGGAGAGGGCCGAATCTGAAGAGATCGGGGTTCGGTTCTAAGGGTCGCAGATCCCAGGACACGGCCATGACAGGGTGAAAGAGGGCATCCGTTTTGAGCTCACCCCCAGGAGCGGGAGGGGTCGGGGAGTGTTCTGAATCTCTAGAGGGAGAGAGAGGGATGGGGGGATTCTCTGATGAGACCCCCCTCCAAAGAAGTCCCGGGAGAGATGGGAGAGATAGAACGGGGTGGGAAGGGGATCTGCATTGAGAGTCCCCCAGGTGGGGTAGGGACTAGGGCTGTGAAGCCAGGTGCGCTTTTCCTGGGTCTCTGGAAATATTTGAGGCATAGGGAACAGGGGTTATTAATGGTGTGAATATAAACGTGAAATTAAATCTCACTCTGCGTCAACGTCATTGTTTGCGAAATTAATTGTCTGCTAAATTTAACCCTCAAGGAGCTCTGGTAGCGTAGTGGTTACGAATCGGGCTGCTAACGTCAAGGTTGGCAGTTCGAAACTGCCAGCCATTTCTCGGGAGAAAGATGCGGCTTTCTGCTTCCATAAAGATTTACAGCCTCGGAAACCCTGTACAGGGTCACTATGAGTCAGAACTGACTCCACGGTACTTAACAAGTTTGACCCTCATCCTGGGTTGAGTGGAGAGTCAGTGAAAAAGAGGAAGACCCTCAAAGAGATGGGTTGACCCAGTGGCAGCAACCATTGTGAGGACAGCGCAGGACTGGGCAGTGTTTTCCTCTGACGTATAAGGGGTAGTTAGGAGTTGAACTGACTCCACAGCACCTAACAAGAAGTTTGCACTGAATACCTGGGTTCAGCCCTGCCTTCTCTCATAGTGTAATTTAACCCATCTGAGGCTCAGTTTCCCCTTCCATAAAATGAAATCATCCTAGATACACCTCTTCCGGTTGTTTAGACTAATTAATGAATGAATACGTGCTGAGTTCAGAACAGTGATTTAGCACATAACATCTAACCGCCCAGGTTGGTGGTTCAAACACACCAGCTGTTCCTCAGAAGCCCCTTAGAGCATCATTATGCGTCAAAACCAGCTTGACGGCCCTAACAACAACATTATTTTAATAAAAAATCCTTTTCCTTTAGACTAATTGGAGGAGACTATTAAAAGTACCGTGGACCGCCAAAAGAACAAATCTGTGTTGGAAGAAGTACAGCCAGAATGCTCCTTGGAAGCCAGGATGGCCAAACTTCATCTCTCATACGTTGGACATGTCAGGATGGACCAGTACCTGAAGAAGGAGATCATATTTGGTAAAGTGGAGGGTCGAAGAAAAAGAGGAAGACCCCCCTCCAATGAGATGGATTGGCACAGTGGCAACAGCAGTGGGCTCAAACATAGTAACAATTGTGAGGATGATACAGGACCAGACAGTGTTTTGTTCTGTTTTGCAGAGCATTGCTATGAATCGGTACCTACTCAATGGCACCTAACAACAACAACAACAACAAATTGGCTGTTTTTCAATAGTGCCACTAGGGTTAGGGTCACTTAATGCCATAACTCATGGCGTCACCCCCCCCTCCCCCATTGAGGACCTCTTCCCATACCACACCATACAGAATCCATCTTGTGTTGAATACTGTATAGAGTTTCCAAGGAGCAGCTAGTGGGTTTGAACCACTGAATTTGTGATTAGCAGTCCAATGCTTATCCTACAGCACCATCCCAGGACTCCACACAGAATCCTCGGCAATGATTGTTATCAATTTTAATCATAGAATCATACGTAATAAATATAGTTATAAATTGCTTAAATGTTTCTTTGATTATATGAATCTGGCAACAAAGTTTTCATGTTTGTAATTCTACATTGAATCATAGTATTATTAGTTATAATATTATTAATAACTGAGTGGAAGACTTTTTAAAAAAATTTCTCCTTTTTTCCCTTGAATTACTACTTCATTCTCATACAACATTATTTGGTATAGGTTCAAAATGCTACTTACCACAAAATTATAGCGAGGATATCAGAAAACCAGTGACTACAACAACACTGGCAGCAACAGCAGATACTTCCAGGACATGTAGACCAAACCACATGAGTATGAGTTGTCATTATAATTGCATAACAATGACCGCTTTGACCTGAATGAATTGTTGTTAGGTGCCCTCTCTCTGGCTCCAACTCCCAAAACACTATCTATTTTGTTATGTTTCAGCCCATTGTTGCTGCCAAAGTGTCAATCTGTCTTGTTGTGGGGGTCTCCTCTTTTTTTGTTGACCCTCCAATTTACCAAGCATGATGTCCTTCTCCAGGGACTGGTCCCTCCTGACATTATGTCCAAAGTATGAGAGATGAAGTCTTACTATCCCCGCTTCTAAGGAACATTCTGGTTGTACGTCGTCCAAGACAGATTTGTTTGTTCTAGAAGTCCATGATACTTTCAATATTCTTCTCCAACACCATACATAGTTCAAATGTACTGGGTTTTCTACAGTCTTCCTTATTCATTGTACAACTTTCACATGCATGTTGTTGTTGGTGGTGCCAAAGAGTCGGTACCGACTCATAGAGACTCTATGTACAACAGA